GTGGCACCAAAATGACCATGCCCGTTGAATTCCCCATTGCCGATTACCTATTATCCCAATAATTTTTTGTTCCGTTTGGTCTTTTTCCGATTTTGACCATTTTTCCGTGTACACTTTTGTCGGAAAAAAGGCCGAAGCTTTTATTTTCTTAATTTTTTATTTTTTAAAAAAATCCCTTAAAATTTAAATTAATTGTAATCGGGGATCCGCTGGGGATTTTTGGCGGAAATTTGGGATGGTAGGTAATCGGACCTGGGGAATCCATTGGGCATGGTCATTTTGGTGCCAACTTGAGTGTGGCACTGAACCGTCCTGATTTGGGTACTTTTGGTCAGTTTGGTCTTAAACTTGGACATATAGGTAATCGGCCTTGGGGAATTCAGCTGGCATGGTCGTTTTGGTGCCACACTTGAGTGTGGCACTGAAACGGCCTGTTTTTTCCAAAATCCCCCAAAATTCATTTTAACTTATTTTTTTTATTTTTAGCCTAAAAAATTAAAAATTTTTTTCAATTTTTAGTCTAAAAATTAAAATATATGTATCACAACTTCAATTCAACTTCAAAATTTTTTATTTTTCAAAAATTCAAATTTTTTCGGCAACAACAACTAATTTCAATTATTTTTATTTTTTCAACAACAACAACATATTTTCTTCAATTATTTTTATCAAATCGTTCAACATCAACTCAACACCCTCACACCTCTACAAAAAACCAATTTTGGTTTGTTTTTCTTTTTTAAAAATTTTTTTTCAAAAAACATTTTTTATTTTTCAGGTGTTCTCTACACCAGCTTTTGGAGGAAAATTTGGAAATTTTCCAAAATGGAAAAATTTTTGGAGGAAAGAAATCCCACGGACGTGGGTGAGCGAATTGTATGACCACTGTGCGGAGGGGTCATGCCGGTTTTTTCCCAGAAATGGGCGGAGCCGGCATGATCGGGGATTGGGACATGCCCGTTCCTTCTTTTGGGGGGATGGGAAGTCTCCCCCTTCCTTCTGCACAGTGGGACAACCTCTGTGCGGAGGGGTCATGCCGGTTTTTGCCCAGAAATGGGGGAAATCGGCATGATTTGGGGATTGGGACATGCCCGTTCCTCCTTTTGGGGGGATGGGAAGTCTCCCCCTTCCTTCTGTACAGTGGGTTAGTACAACCACTGGATGGACGGGTCATGCCGGTTTTTTCCCAGAAATGGGCGGAGCCGGCATGATTTGGGGATTGGGGCATGCCCGTTCTCCCTTTTGGGGGGATGGGAAGCCTCCCCCTTCCGTCTGGACAGTGGGACAACCTCTGTGCGGAGGGGTCATGCCGGTTTTTGCCCAGAAATTGGGGAAATCGGCATGATTTGGGGATTGGGACATGCCCGTTCCTCCTTTTGGGGGGATGGGAAGTCTCCCCCTTCCTTTTGCACAGTGGGCAATGATTCACTCCGCCGTGCGGAGGGGTCATGCCGGTTTTTTCCCAGAAATGGGGGAATCGGCGTGATCGGGGATTGGGACATGCCCGTTTCCCCTTTTGGGGGTATGGGAAGTCTCCCCCTTCCCTCTTCACAAAAAGGGGCCTATCCATGACCTCGTCTGCACTATAAATACAGCGAGGCATGGAAGTGTCCTCTTAAAACCCCGTCCTGTGGAAAAACCTGTATAGATTAGGTTTCGGGTCCTAGCCACAAGAAGGCCCACAGGATGGGGTGAAAGAAACGTGGGGCACCAATACTTGGGGGAAAAGAACCCCGGGTATTGATGCTTCACTGTGCGGAGGGGTCATGCCCAAATTTTTCAAAAAATTTTGAATGCTTATGGTTTTGGGTGACCCATTAAAACCCTAATTCCCTCATTTAAAAAAAATAATTTTTTTCATCAATATTTGGTTTTTTAACCTTATATTTTGGTTTTGGGTCAGCCATTAAAACCCTATTTGAATGCTTTTGAATGGTTTTGGGTGACCCATTAAAACCCTAATTCCCTCATTAAAAAAAAATTATTTTTTCATCAATATTTGGTTTTTAAACCTTATATTTTGGTTTTGGGTTATCCATTAAAACCCAAATTGATTACTTTGAATGTTATGGTTTTGGGTAAGTAGCCTTAGGCATGGAAGCCAGTGAGGGCGATCCATTAAAACCCTAAGTCGCATTACTCTGAGTCACTTCTCAGGTTATTGCGCACGGGCATTGCAAACTTGCAGCCTTCAAATTGCTGGATATGGCTCATTTCGTGGAGCTGGTAGGACGGGAAAGGCTGCAAGCCAAGTACCATCACCGCCCGGAGCGTCCCAGTGCTTTTGAGGGCACCAAAGGTCGGCTCAAGACTGTTTCCCCTATATGGGGGTATGGTGTATTGTCCCTTTGGGCAAAGTTTGCCAGACCCCTGGGCCACCTTCCCAGGACTGTAGCTCGTCCATATAGTGGGGGTCATGGATAGTTTATCCCACTGCGTTAGCATGGTTACTCGGTGCGTGAACTTAACACTCACGACCACATCATGCGGCGGAAGTGGTACGCAAAGATAGTCACGTTATGCGGCGTGATGGCTATCCTAACGGCTCTGTTCGAGCGGAGTACGCTTTTGCCTACTACGCCTAGCAACGGCTAAGGACCGCACTGCTGGGTTAAACTCGAATAACCGTAAATGGCCCGTGATAAATCCGAGGGCTGAACGATGTGTCAGACGACCGTTTCGGCTTTTGCTGATACACCCATTTTGGGGAGGAAGTCTCACTCCCGTTCAGTTTCCGGTCCCTAAGCTCTGCAGAGCCACTATATGTAGCCTACTGGTGGCTTCTGCCATTGGTTTGGCTGGACCTGGATTAGGAGGGGCACCCGTATGGACTCTCCGCTTCTAATCTAGGGGCCTAACACAGGTCTGTGCGGACGGGTCATGCCCAAATTTTTTTTGGGTCTGCCCTTACAAGCAGCTTGTGGGGGGTCCTGATGAAAAGAAGTGGCCCATGCGGCTTTCCGCTCCTTATTCAGGGGCCAAAAACAACGTAGGATAGAGGGGTGCTGCCAAAATTTTTTTTGAAAGCCCCCTATAACTACCTGTTTTTGACCCTGAGCCAGGTACTAGCCGGCAAACTATATTTTGGTTCTGTGCTGGGGTGACCGGACGGTCAACGCTTAACCTCTGAGGGGGATGTTTTTAGCGCGGCAATTTGGAAACAGCAATTACCGAGATGTAGGGAGTGATCAATGTGTGGAAGCGGTTTGGTTGTGGGGTCTTTTTCATATCGCCATGTCTAATTATAAATTCATGGTACTCTATTTCGGTAGAGGTTGGATCTGATACTCACATAAAGGGCTCCACCAGTTTTCCAAATTCAGATAATATATGGTACACAAGGATCTCATTATCCTCCGTAAACGTCCACGTCGTGTGTGCTGGGCTCTGGACTTTTTGTCTGGGGGCGAACTCTGGCTTGTCTGGAGGCGCGGTTAAAAATGAGCTGCAATTAGATTAAAAATTCATTGCAGAAAAATTCTTTAAAATTTTAAAACATTGTATATATTAAAGCTTTGCCTGTACTACGCTAATGAACTTGAGTCGCTGTTGTAAAATATGAAGTATCGAATACTGAGTCGCTGTTGTTTGTAAATAATGAATTGAAATCTGAGTCGTTGATGTTTGTAAATATATTTGAAATCTGAGTCGCTGTTATTTGTAAATATATGAATTGAAATGAGTCGCTGATGTTTATAAATATATGAATTGAAGTCTGAGTCGCGGTTGTTTGTAAATATATGAATTGAAATCTGAGTCGCTGGTGTTTTACGCTAAATAAATTTTAGTCGCTGTTGTCAATAATTATAAGAATTTAAAAATAAAATTGATTTTAAATTGAGTCGCTGTTTTATACTAATCTATTAAATATTAATAAGAATATCTACAAATTAGAGTCGCTGTTGTTTGTAAATATATAAATTGAAGAATATTTTCTACGGTTATGCTCACGAATCATGTTTTACACGATTTTGCTGTACACGATTTTGATTTACCCGATTATGCATTAGCCAAACTATGATTTCATCACATTTCTATGCTTCATTCACGGTTATGAAAATTTTTTCGGTCACAAAATTTTTCTTGTCTGTACGTGTTAAAGAATGGTTAAATCCAAATCTCTGTTTTGGAGGAAACAGATCGTAACTTAGCCTCTTAGCTGTCTTTTGACAGAGATCCGAAAGGCTTTTACGCCTAAATATTTTGTAACTTAGCCTCTCAGTTGTCCTTCGACAAGTAGTAGATAGGACAAGTAGTATAATTTATTGTACTTAGCCTCTAAGATGTGTTTTGACACATACTCGGTGCACGAGGTTTCTCATTTGTCCTACGCAAACGTCCTCGTCGTGTGCACTGGGGAATCCGGATCGGTGAAATATATACTTTCCGGATTCGCGAACTCTTGACATTATTGTACCCCGTGAATAATGTCTTGAGGTGCGGATTAAAAATGAGGGGGATTCCTCCGTCCCCTAATTTTTGGACCCTTTCCATGCGGGCGGATTCCCAAAAGGTCTCCGCATCCTCCAACCGCAACCTTTACCACGGCCGGACAGATAAATATGAAATATAATGCCAACTATTCAAGCTAAAAAACGAAAACTAAGACGCGAAAGGCACTCTAGATCCAATATCCCAAACAGTCCTCTTCAGGACTCTGACCAGTCTGTCCAACCAGAGCAGACTGATCCGATTATTGATCTGGGTACCCAAAACAGCTCTCTTCAGAGCTCTATGGATCATGAACAAGTTAACGAAAATGTATTTAGCCCTGGGAAGCCTTCGAGCTCGGGCAAGTTTACTTTTAGTGCACAAGATATTGATGATAATGCCAATATTGAAAGTCTGGTGGAACCGCTCACTCCTTTGAGCATCTCTTCGGAGGTTTGTGTTCCTAGAAAATCACGAAAAACACGTGACTCATCTGTCGAGTCTATGGATACTCAAAGTAATGCCTCAACAAGCAGGTCTGCATCTGTTTTTTCTTGCTCTTCCATTGAAAGTCAATCGTCTGCTAATAAACGTGGAAGGCCAAAAAAGGACACTCGCAAGGGTGTTGGAGGAAGACCAAGGAAAATAGTTACACCTGATATTGCACAAAATAATACGGAAAATTTACAAGACAATGACAATTCTATAAATAACAATACTGAACAAGTCTTACCGAACGATGAACGAAATATCAATTTCTCTACGCTGAACACTTTAGATTTCGCTGTATCAAGGACTAATGATAGAACTTCCATTTGCCGCAGAGCAGCTATGCCTCTTTATGAAAGAGATGATGATAATAGGGGCCCTCGTGGCATTGAAGTATTATGGAATAAGCTCTCTGAATGGCCAAATGAAAGTTTTATTTTCGCCTATCTATGCTATTTAGCCAAAGTTTCTGGCAAAAAGGTGATTGTTGTTGATCCGGTTATAACGGATCCACTTCACTTTCAATTAGAAAATATAAACTACGCTGATTTTGCCTATCAAACTGAGCAAGAAGGAGATGTACAAATTGTACTTCTTCCTGTTCATTTACCTGCACATTGGACTATCATTATCTTTGACCGTGAGTTCGGATTTTATTTCTTCGACTCGCTGCCAACAGATCCAAATAGATTATCTGATAAACATCGTGACTATCATCCTGATAGAATGCCAAAACTTATGAACATACTTTCTCAATTGACCAACAGATCCTCGGATTTAATACATTTGGGAACATATGCCACTGATGACTACACACTTCAACGTGACGGTCATAGTTGCGGATATTTTATCTGCCTATATGCCGAAGCATGGTTATTCAACAACCGGAATCTTAAATTTAATAATTTTAACATTAACACTGAAAAGAAAAGAATATTGTGGCATTTGAACCAATTGTATTCCGGTGACAATGTTGAGTATCACCCGAGAAATGAAAATGAACAAGCTAATATACGATTAACACCGATTCATGACATACCTACTACAAGTCTTTCAACTCCTAGAATGTCCACCAGGGCTTCTACGCGAGCCTCTTCAAGTAATTTGACCCCGGGAATATCTAATATTACTATTGCTACTCCGAAAAGAGAAAAAGTTCTTCCCATCACTAAACGTTGTAAAGCTAAACATCAGGGAATAGGTTGTGCTTCATTCAAATCGGGTCATCTTCCTCAATATTATAATTCGGGTCAATTTGGGGACAAAACTTGCGAGCATTGTAATAATAGATTGCTTCCTGCTGAAAAATGTTTATCATGTACGGATGGGCGAGTTAGACTTGACCCACTTAAAGACTATCCACTTGATTATGAAAGACTTGTAGCTGGTAGAGTAGATGAATCGAAAGAATATATAAAATATCAAGCAAAATATAATACGCTGTTCGCATTCGGTTCACTTTCTGTTGGACACCAAAGCGCAATGATTGGAGACTCTATGGCAGTCTTTCTTAACGGAGAATTTGCTCGCAGAATCGGAAGTATCATGGCTGCTGATACTCAGATTCCTGCTTTTGACCAACTATACATTCTTGATTCGCAGGCCGCACTAGAAAATCGTTTAAATAATACCAATTTTGAAAACTGGATCCGGAAAGATGAACATAAACATCTCTTCCGCGTTCTCGACAATCTAATTCGAGACTATCATCCGATGGCCGAACTTCTTAAAAACTCTTATGAATTTTACAAAGATATTGAACAAAACTCACCAGAGAACCTTCAAAACTTTAAGGTTATTTTGGTTGAAGACAAAAATGCGCCTGCAGCGATTCAAGACCCTAACTTACATCCGCGCCAAGTAAATTTGCCAACGCGGAATGAGTCTACTGTCTTTGCAATTTGGGCTTCCAATACTGATGAGCCTCCACCGCTCAGAGGTATTTGGATTACCCTCAAAGGAAATGTGACCGAATTATGGTCTAATCATTCTATGACTGATTCTATACTCTACCCTTGCATGTTTTTGCTTGGGGACGAGGGATATTCTACAGAAATACCGTATATTAAAGTTGCTAAAAAGCCTAATAATGCTAAAGAAAAATTTGATGACGACAAATCGGAAACCGAATCCGTTGCTGATAGCGATTGCGGCTCTGTAGATGTCTATGGTGACGAACCTAGCCGGTCTCGTCCAAATCTTTCGATGAGGGCATTCTATCGTTATCGCTTTGGAATTCGTTATCCGGAAAATGAAATTTACCATCATATTTGGAGCACTGGTGGTGGATTAGGTCAAAGATTCTTGCTTGATATTGCTGCCAGAATTGACTCCCAAGTTTTTGAATATTTACGTCAGCCTGATATGGATTTAAGATGTGATATACCACAACATCTTGTAAATTATTTCGCTAAACACGGCGGCAAATCCTCCGCAGCTAAAGTTGGACATGTTGTTCTTTTCAGAAGTAATATGCCAGGATTTAGGGCATACTTCAAGAAAAATTATAAGAGAGCGTGCACGATTATTAATCGTAAACGCAAGCGAGGATCTGCCATGTTCATGTTTACGTTTACTTCAAATCCACAATGGCCTGAAATGCAGAATGAACTTTACCCCAACGGTCAATTTTTGATTGATCGTCCTGACATTGTCATGCGTTTTTATGCGGACAAAGTTAGAGAGGTACACAAGGACTTGAATGAAAGGAACATATTTGGGAAGCAATTAGGGTACGCTGAAAGTATGGAATTCCAGAAAAGAGGGGGTCCTCACTTCCACAGAGTGATGGCTACCGATATTCCAGCTATTCCTGAAATTATTGAAGGTTACATATTTGCCCATATTCCGCCACTACCAGATAAAGATGATAAAAGCCCACGTGCCGAGGGTGAAAGACGCCTTCGAGAACTTGTCATTAAACATCAGCTTCATGATTGTATGCCTGATGTCTGTGGAAAAAAGAATAAATATGGGAAATGTTCCAAATTCTTCCCTTATGACTACTCTGACAAAACAATTCTCTATGACGACCAGCCAGCCGTTCACTATCGACCAAGTCCCGAGGATGGGGGTGAAACTGTATTGTTACCGAAAGGTGGAGTGCTCACTGAGTATACCAATGCTCATGTGACGCCGTACAATCCATTTATTCTAATGAAGTATAAAACCCACCACAATGTAGCGTACTGCTACGGTGAAAAGACCAACATGAAATATACTATGAAGTACCCACTAAAGGGACCCACCTTTCAATATATACAGGTTCAAGGTGACATGGTCGATATTGACGAGCCTGCGCATTATTCACAAATGTATTATCGCTCTGCTAATGAAGCATATGCTAGAATTCATTCCATGCCATATGTTAGACTTTCCAACACAGTTTATGAAATGCCTATCCACTTGCCAGGAGAACAAAATATGGTTTTCAAACAAAGTCAAGCTGCAGCAGTTGCTGCTGGAATACCAGGAAACTTACCTAAGACCATGCTCACTGAGTACTGGTCTCAATGGAAGGAAGGAAAGTCTTGGCAGTTTGTTAATAAGAAATGGATTTTTGCTGATGACGCTTCAATCAAGGATACGCTTTACGAACACATGCCAGAAAATTATTGGTTTGATAAAAAAATTTGGAAAAAACGAATACTTAATAAAGACGTAATTGGGCTTATTCATCCAAGGCCATTCCCTCGGGATCAAGAGAGGTTTGCCCTTTACATACTTCTCCGCCACTTTCCTGGTGATCCTGAAGCATTGAAAGACGTTAACGGAGTTGAGTGTACAACGTTTACTGAAGCTGCAAGATTAAGAGGTCTGCTTTCTGATGATAGTGTTTGGGAGAGAACATTGGCAGAGGCTTCGCATTTCGCCACCCCAAGTGAAATGCGCTACCTGTTTGTTCAGGTATTGGTCTTTGGTAATCCGAGCAATGCTCGCGAATTGTGGGAAAGGTTTTTGGATAATATGATTAAATTTGTAGCAATAGACCCAAATGGAAATATTAGAAATAGACTTATTGATCGAGCTTTAGCATTTATCGATTCTCAACTATCTGACTATGGTATGACAAACCAACAATTTGGACTGGATTCTCCATCCCCCGGGATGCAGCAAGACGTAGATGAAGCCCTTGATAATTTCTTCTTTGGAGACAAAGATGAAGATGACACTGCAAGCGGTAAAAAGCCAACGATTAAACTAAATGACGACCAAGAAAATGTCTGGACTACCGTTCAAAATGCCATCAACGGAACTTCATGCAATACCATCTTTGTAACAGGAGATGGGGGAACTGGAAAGACTTATATGTTTAATGCTATAATTTCACGATTACGAGAAATGCGCATCCGTGTAATTGCTTCGGCCTATACTGGCTGTGCAGCGACACTTTTGACTGGCGGTGCTACCGTTCATTCGGTATTTAGGTTTGGAATTCATATTGATGAGAATTACACCCCATCAGTGTCAATGCAAAGCTTTCACGGAAAACGCATTAGCGACAGTCAGGTTATCATTATTGATGAAGTTTCTATGCTTCCCAAGCATATGTTGGAGGCAATTGATCGCGTCTGCAAACAAATGTGCGAACCAAACATGAAACATCTTCCATTCGGCGGCAAGGTTATCATTCTCAGCGGAGACTTCAAGCAATCACTTCCTGTGGTTGCTGGAGGTGGTATGCGAGATCAAGTAAATGCCTGCATACAGTCTTCGCAATTGTGGCCGCTTTTTAAAAATAATATAATTACGCTGAACATCAACATGCGTCAGGGACAAAATGAACGTCAGTTCACTGATTGGCTGCGCAAAATTGGAAACGGGAAATTAAATAAGGAAGTGGAGATCGAAAGTAGGAATTTGGTGGGTTCGCGCCAAGAACTGATGAATTTTATAACTGACAATGGTCAAGCTCTTTCAAATCCGAAAGAGCTCATTAACAGACTTATATTAGCGCCGCATAATGACACAGTTAACGTGATTAATGAAGACATGCTAAAGAAGATTAAGACTAAGGAAAGAATTTATTTCTCAACGGATGAATCGGACGTTGATGAATCGCCAATGGATTTTGATGAATGCGACAATGATGTTGAAGCTTTGAATTTACTAAATCCTGCTTCAATTCCACCACACCGCTTACACCTCAAGGAAGGATGTATTGTAATTCTTTTAAAGAATATAGGAGTAAGTAGAGGGCTTGTGAATGGCACAAGAATGATTGTAAAAGAATTAGGGGATGATATTCTAAAGGTTGAGGTTGTAACCGGGTCTGTGGCTGGCTCAGGAACAATAATTTGCCTTTCACGAGTATGGTGTGACTATGAAGATCATAAACCAGAAGGAGTTAAGTTCAGACGGCTGCAGTTTCCTGTTCGTCTTGCATATGCAATGACGATCATGAAGGCCCAAGGCCAGACTGCAACAAGAGTTGGACTCGACCTTACACATCAAGTGTTCGGTCATGGTAACCTTTATACAGCTCTTTCTAGAGTTCGTACAGGTGATTCGTTCAAAATTTTCGCACCACACGTAAATGAAAAGGAAAAGACTAAGAGTAAAATGATAAAGAATGTTGTCGCTGATGGCTTGGTATTTTTCTAAAGCCTTATTGAACTTTTCACGGACATGTTTCACAATGCTATGCCACTGGCCTGGACATTAATGTCCTGAGCCTTCGCCAACGTATGCTTCTAAGTCGCCAAGGGCGAATATGTTACTTGATCCTAGCCTCTAAGACGCCTTTGGCGTATGTAACTTGATCTTTAGCCTCTCGGTCGCCGATGGCGGTAGGAATACTTGTACATATATAAAAAATAAAAAATACAAAAAAACATTAAAAATAAAAATCCTAAAAATTTAAAAATTTCCTTAAAAAATTACAAAAAAATTTCTTATCCCAAAAAAACAAAAACTACAAAAAAAATTCTTAAGAGTGAGACAGAATTCCAAAAATAAAAATAAAAAACCCAAAAAAAATTCAAAAATTAAAAATCCTAAAAATGTAAAAATAAAATTAAAAATAACAAAAAAATTTCTTATCCCAAAAAAATAAAAAAAAACAAAAAAATTTCTTATCCCAAAATGGTGTACACGGTCTTCCACACCTGACAGGCCTCCCCGTGGCCGTACACCGGTAACTCCTGCTATAAAGGCTGTTGTGAGCCATGCAGTTGAGGCTAACTATAATAGTCACAACACTATTATGGAGTCAAAGTGGTCAACACATAATATCCAACCCCTGTAACTTTGTAAAATTTACCCCTAAATTTTTACAAAAAATATTTTTAGACTCAGCTCGATAAGGACTTTCATATGATATATCATTTGCCCCACTTATCTTTATTTTTGGAGAAATACTTTTTTGGCCGAAAATTTTGGCCGAAAAATTCTCCAAATTTTTTGAAAATTCATATCTTTTTTAAATACACTCTATTGACTCATTTTAAAGTTCTATTCTATGTAGAAAAATCTGCTCTATCCGATAAAAATACTTCCATCTTCAACCGCAATCGAAAATCCGGAAAAATTCTCGAAAAACCGAAAATTTTTGAAATTTTTGAAAATCGACCCCTACATCCTCAGCTTTGTGGTTGTGTGGATTTTCTGCCTCTCAAAAAATTTCTAATTTTTAGTATTATTTTATAAAACAAACCCGACCAGGAAATCTTAATCCTTTCGAAAGTTATGACCATTTAAAAATTTTCAAATATTTTTCATAAGGGGTACCCCTTTGGAAAAAATCGTGGGTATAAAATTTTCGAATATTGACATAAAAAATGTGTTATATAGTGGAACAGCATACGCTGAGTCTGATTCCGGTGTCCAAAAAATTCCAAAAAATTTTTCCGGGCAATTAGAGTCTCAAACTCATCTCAGTCCCAGACAACCATTGGCCCTTATCTCACTCAGACTCAAGTGGAAACTCAACAAAGTATATATTTTTCGCATGATTAGAGGCTGCTTTACAAGAATATCTGAGTATGTTTCGCTAAACACGATTCTTCAGCTACTCCACCTGTAAGCACCCCCACCCCTGAATCTTCAAACCTCTATAACTTGGTCAAATTTGGACTGAGATTTTTATTAAAAATATTTTTAGACTCATCTCGATAATGGCTTTCGAATGATATATAATTTGCCACACTTATTTTTATTTTTGGTGAAATAATTTTTTGGCCGAAAATTTTGGCCGAAAAATTCTCCAATTTTTTTAAAATTTCATATCTTTTTTTAAATAACCTCTATTGACTCATTTTAAAGTTCTATTCTACGTAGAAAAATCTACTCTATCCGATAAAAATACTTCCATCATCAAACGCAATCGAAAATCCGGAAAGATTTTCGAAAAATCAAAAATTTTTGAAATTTTTGAAAATCGACCCCTACGTCCCCAGCTTTGGGGTTACATGAATTTTTTTCATTTGTAAAAATTTCTAATTTTTAGTATTATTTTATAAAACAAACCCGACCAGGAAATCTTAATCCTTTCGAAAGTTATGACCATTTAAAAATTTTCAAATATTTTTCATAAGGGGTACCCCTTTGGAAAAAATCGTGGGTATAAAATTTTCGAATATTGACATAAAAAATGTGTTATATAGTGGAACAGCATACGCTGAGTCTGATTCCGGTGTCCAAAAAATTCCAAAAAATTTTTCCGGGCAATTAGAGTCTCAAACTCATCTCAGTCCCAGACAACCATTGGCCCTTATCTCACTCAGACTCAAGTGGAAACTCAACAAAGTATATATTTTTCGCATGATTAGAGGCTGCTTTACAAGAATATCTGAGTATGTTTCGCTAAACACGATTCTTCAGCTACTCCACCTGTAAGCACCCCCACCCCTGAATCTTCAAACCTCTATAACTTGGTCAAATTTGGACTGAGATTTTTATTAAAAATATTTTTAGACTCATCTCGATAATGGCTTTCGAATGATATATAATTTGCCACACTTATTTTTATTTTTGGTGAAATAATTTTTTGGCCGAAAATTTTGGCCGAAAAATTCTCCAATTTTTTTAAAATTTCATATCTTTTTTTAAATAACCTCTATTGACTCATTTTAAAGTTCTATTCTACGTAGAAAAATCTACTCTATCCGATAAAAATACTTCCATCATCAAACGCAATCGAAAATCCGGAAAGATTTTCGAAAAATCAAAAATTTTTGAAATTTTTGAAAATCGACCCCTACGTCCCCAGCTTTGGGGTTACATGAATTTTTTTCATTTGTAAAAATTTCTAATTTTTAGTATTATTTTATAAAACAAACCCGACCAGGAAATCTTAATCCTTTCCAAAGTTATGACCATTTAAAAATTTCCAAATATTTTTCATAAGGGGGTACCCTTTGAAAAAAATCGGGGTTACAAAATTTTCGAATTTTGACTCAAAAATGTGTTATATAGTGGATTAGCATGCGCTGAGCACGAATCCGGTGTCCAAAAAATTATAAAAAAATTTCCTAAGCAATTAGAGTCTCAAAACCATCTCAGTCTCAGACAAATTTTGACAACTTTTGACCCCTATCTGACTCAGACTCAAGTGGAACCCCAACAAAATATATATTTTTCTAATAATCAAAAGACGCTCTAAACGAATCTACACACAATTAATGTACATCTCCAAGCAAAAAAGAAATCTAGCGTGCTTTTAAAGCCGCAGGCTTTCCACGCGCGTCCCTGGACGCGCCCCCAAACGATTCTCACCAGACCAGAAATGTAACCAAACGCTCCCCCCGATAAAGCTAAACCCTCCCCGCTATGTACCGCCTGCAGCTACACGCCCTGCAGCTAGTTATATTATACTAAAAAAAACCACCAAGTGCCCCTTCTTTTGTGGGTAAAATCGGGCTTTTTTCGTTTAAAAACTAATTTGAGTCGAACGAGTTCTCGGGGATTTTTTTGAGTTGTACATTAGTCCTACAACTTTTTGACGCGCATTCAGGAAAATTATAGCCGTGGCGCCAAAACGTACCTCTGCGCCGAAACGGCCGTCGGTAAAATTCAAACGGCTGTAACTCGGAGAGGTGAAGTCGGATCAAAAAGTGATTGGGGTGAGGGCCCTAAGTTGGGATAGGGTCTATAACGCTGAAAAAAAATTGGAGGCCTGGGAACAACTGTCCGACCTGTGGAGGTTGGCAAAAATTCACCGATTGTCGGTGAATTGTCCTACCTCGTCCGACGAAATTGATCGACAATTTACAAATTATATACCAATCGAAAGCTCTCATCGAGCTGAGTCCGAAAAAATTTATTTTAATTTTTTCTGACCATTTTGAAAAAAGTTACACTTCGCCAAAGGTTCAAAATGTCTTGGACCCCTATCGGGAAGGGTGGCTCCCATTGGATGTAATTATAAAAATGCTTATGAGAGGCCGAATCGCTCCAACTCTTTTTTAGTATGTTAGGGCACTTAGTTGGCTAAAATTTTGTTGGGGGCCACTTGAGTCTCGGATTTGGTTCTGGGGGTCATGAGGTTCAAAAGGTCCGGGTCGAAAAGTCGACTTTTTAATGCGTGAATTGAAAGTCGATTTGAGTTTCCTATGTTGTAGAGCGTCCTTTGAAACCTCTAAAAATATATACTTTGTTGGGGGTACACTTGAGTCTGGAAAAGTTATAGGGCAAAAAGTGACATTTTGGGGGTCAAAAATTGACCTTTATTGGGCTATAACTTTTTTTAAAATTTTTTTAAAAATAAAAGGGCTTCGGGAATGGATTCAGCACCTATCAGAGCACAATATAGCATATTTATCTCGAAGTCGAATTTTTCGACTCAGGTTCGACTTTTTGGGGGTCACACCCGGTGGGGTACCTGATTGAAAGTCTGAATGAAAACTTAATCCGGTGATGTTGTAGAGCATCTAAAACTACACTGAAATGTAAAATTTGGGCATGGTCCACTTGAGTCTCAAAAAGTTATGGCCAATGTACGCAAATGTCGTAAAACTTTTTGAGACTCTAACGTCCCTGCGAA